GCCGCCAGCAGGTCAATCTGTACCTGTGAGGCGAGTGCATCAGCAGCCTGATGGCACCTTCAGACTTTCAGATACCCCAAAATTGCTGCTGTGCCTTTGGGCCGGACCCCAAAAACTTGGGGCAAAGTTTACCAAGAAAGTAAAAAGCCAAAAGTAAGGTATGTGGGAAATACACCCACAAACCACCTCCGGCTCAGCTACATAATTGGAGGCATGGCCTCTTTGGTTCCTGATTGAACTGCTTAATGGCCATGATCCCAGAGACTCAGAAACAAATCTCAAAATCCAAAGGCTTTTGGCAGAAATGTGTACAGTCCCTGCAGAAGGTTACAGGCGCCAGGACACCCCAGGTGGGAATTGGTTTTGTGTCTTGGCCTGTTCCCCCTGGTGGCCCGGTGGCCGTCATCCTCCAGAGGCCACTGGACAGTCAGTGGGCCCACAGTGACAAGACACGTGGGGTCACACGGGATGGGAGTGGAGCCGGCCCTTTCCTCCCCATCCCAACAAGACCCCAAGTCGCTGCCCACAAACGGCCTCTGTGGCTCCTGATCAAGCTGCTTAATGGCCATGATCCCAGAGACTCAGAAACAAATCTCGGAACCCAGTGGCTTTTGGCAGAAATACGTCTGGACCCACAGTAGGTTACTGTCACCAGGCTACCCCAGGGGGAAAGGGTGCTGTCCCTCCACCTGCTCCCCCTTAGAGGCTCGGTGGCTGCAATCCTCCGGAGACCACTGAACAGTCAGGTTTGGGCCCTCAATGATGAGACACGTGGGGCCTCACAGGATGGGGGTGGAGCCAGCCCTTTCCTCCTGTCCCAACGAGACCCCGAGTCACCGCCCACAAACGGCCTCTCTGGCGACTGATCAAGCTGTTAAACGGCCATGACTCCTGAGACTGAGGAACAAATCTCGGAACCCAGTGGCTTTTGGCAGAAATCCCCCCAGATTTAAGTGTTAAAATTTCAGAATTTCAAAATTGTGCGGTCACTACTGCAGCCACGTGACATCATATGTTATTCATAACCAGCAATAGAAAACAAATTGTCTACTGTTACCTTTTCAGCAGATCTGAGTGTTGGGGTAAAATCCCAAATAATAATGATGGGTCTCATGTCAAAATATTGAATGTAATCAAAGTAGAGAGAGAGAGTAATGTGGAAATCATCAGCCCCACAGGTAGGGGGAGGGTGTGTGATGGGGGTATACTGGGGTTTTTGGTGGTGGAGAATGGGAACTGGCGAAGGTATGGGTGTTTCATTGTATGACCAAGACTTAAACCCGAAAGCTTTGTAACTGCTATCATGGTGATTCAATAAATAAAATTATAAAAAAATGAAAAAAACAGTAAGGTGGAGTTCCTGCCCAATTCAATGAGCTAATCAGTGGCTGAATAAATAGCAGTACTCCTACATAAGGGAAAAAAAAAAGAATTTTTTAATGTACAAATTCAGCCACAGGCATTCTTATAAATTAAATGAGCTTTAAAATGACAAAACTTTAGGGGCTGGAGCGATAGCACAGCGGGTAGGGTGCTTGCCTTGCACGCAGCTGACCCAGGTTCGATTCCCAGCATCCCATATGGTCCCCCGAACACCGCCAGGAATAATTCCTGAGTGCATGAGCCAGGAGTAACTGCTGTGCATCGCTGGGTGTGACCCAAAAAGAAAAAAAATAAATAAAATGACAAAACTTTAAAGGTCACCAATGTCTAGATAACATGTACAAGGTTGCTGGTTTAACAGATTTTGAATGTAGTGAGGCTTTCAATTTTTTTAAAACTTTGCAGTGGTTTTCACATGGAATCATTGCTGAGAACCATGTCCCATATAATTACACTTAACAGTACATCTGACTAAAATGACCTCTTATCTGTGCAAAAAAACTAATTCTAAGTACCTAATCTCAGTACCTTATCTCACTTGCCTTGCATATGGCTGAAACAATTCAATCCCCAGCACTTGATATGGTCCCCTGCACATACAAGGAGGGAACCCTGAGCACAGAACCAGGAGTAAGCCCTGTGGGCAAAATCCCTTTCCCCTCCAAAAAAAAGATGACCTAATTAATACCTAATGAAATCATATCATGAGGATCATATTTTATAGCCAACACATTAACAGTAGTAAGAACAATATTAACAGTTAACATTTGAGTATTTCTATGTGCTAGAAACTGAGTAAGAATCATTTATATTATACCAGGTAATCATAATCTATCTGAGCAAAGTGTAAAATAGGAAAACTTCCCAAGACAAAAAAAAAAAAACTTATGCTCTGAACCACAATGTGACTATCAAAGGCAACAACTTTAGAAAAGAAAACTTTTCCAAAGTAGACAGAAATAATATTTCTTATTAGTGAGATCAGACAGTAGCCGGCAAAATAGCAAATCCACATTTGGTATGAGCCAGCAATTCTATTTCCCACAACCTATTCTAATAAAAAGGATGTTTAAACTGATATGTACAGAAACATTAATGAAATTATTACTGTTAATGGCAAAACCTAGAAGCAATCAGAATGTCCATCAATAAATTAACTGATTTGGGGGCTAGAGAGATAGTACAACAGGTAGGGCACTTGCCTTGCACTTGGATGACCCAGATTCAATCCCCAGCACGGCATATGGTCCCCAAGCTTGCCAGAAGTGATCCCCGATCCACCCGCTCCAGATGAAACCCTGGTACCCACGAGCTTCCAAAAGAAAAATCCAGGTACTTGGTCAGGGACTAAGACTCCAGGCCACATGGCAGCAGCAGGCGGTCCAACCACGTGGGGTCCTGGATGTCATGCTCACGAACTGCCTCCAGGCACCATCCCAGCACATCAACAGCCTTGATCCAAAGATTCACAAATGAATCTCAAAATGGATTAGCTTCCTACAGAGATGTCTCTGGACTCCAACCATTTACAATTTTAGAATTCCAGAAGCATGCAGCCACTTTTGCAGCCACACAACCTCTCTGATATTCATAATAAGCAAGAGAAAAAAAATTATCTAGCATCTGCCCCTGGCAGGCAGGCATGGTGATAGTAAAATTTGAAATAATGGTGGTGGGAAGGTGTAATGGTGGTGGGATTGGTGTTGAAATATTAAATGTAATCAATTACTGTGAGCAACCTTATGAAAATAAAATTTGAAAAAAAAAAAAAAAGAAGTGATCCCTGAACACAGAGTAAGCCTTAGCACAGTCAAGTATGGCCCAAAATAAATGAACAAAATAATTAATAAATTTGTAATTTGTAGAGCTTTTGCTTTGCTGACATGAGACAACAAATGTAATCCCCATAACTACCCTAAATGCCAACTGAAATTCAGGTGGCACTGTTTTATGGCATTCCTGGCACTACAAGACAATGAAAATATCATCACGAGTCAATGAGGGAACACGTGGTTGCTACTTCCAAGGCTATGAAGATGGATGACTGGAAGACCTGCCACGGCTTCATCAGTGAAAGAAGAATGGCAAGGAGCAGGACCCCTTCCCTGAGGCAAACAAAGTCCAGACTATGCTTGTTAGGAAATTCCAAGAATAATCACTGCGAACACATCTCTCATATAAAGCAGTGGCTCCTACTCTATCAGCATGGAGACACTGTTTGACAGTTTCAGCTGGACCCGCCCATCACACACTCCATCATCAGCAAGACAATCGTTAATGAGGGTTGATAATCGTTACGCAGGCATTTGACCACAATCAGGGTACATATAGTGGCTACTTCCAAGACCAAAAGGATGACTACTGAAAAAACAAGGGCTACATGCACCCACGTGGCTATAGCCAGTACTATCTTTCCTGTTTATTGATTGTGTCACTTGTCTCCAAGGCTCAGTCTCTCGGTCTTTATGTTCTAAAGCACAAAACCACTGTCATTAAAGGTCTATTAAGAGTTAACAACAACAACAACAAAAAATTAGAATAGCTGAAAGCAAAAACGTGAGAAATAACAAGTGTCAGTAGGAATATAGAGAAAAGAAGGCTAGAAAGATAACACAGTGGGTAAGACTCTTGCCTTGCACGCAGCCAACCCAGGTTCTATTCCTGACATCCCATACAGTCCCAGAGCACCACTGGAAGTAACTCCTAAGTGCAGAGCCAGGAGTATCCCCCAAGCACTGCCCAGTGTGGTCCAATATACACATACACACACAAAAAAAGGAATATAGAAAAAAGAAAATCCTTGTTTACTACTGTGGAAAACATAAATTAGCCAGTCTCTATAGAAAACAGTATAAAGACTTCCAAAATAAATTAGGAATAGAACTACCATATGATGAACAATTCCAATATATAACTCAAGAAGCAAAAACACTCATTGAAAAGGGAGAAGCACATGTATGATCTTTGCAATACTATTCACAATAGCCAATATCTGAAAGCGACCCAAACATCTAACAACAGATGAGTAGATTAATAAGATATAGCACATACACACACACACACACACACACACACACACACACACACACACAAATACTACTCAGCTCAAAACAAAACAAGCAAAGGCTAAGGGCCAGAGTGATAGTATAGCGGTAGGGTAGCTTGCCCTGCACACGGCTGATCCAGTTTAAATCCCCAGCATCCCACAAGATCCTACAAGTCTGTCAGTTGTGGTCCCTAAGCACAAAGAGAGGAGTAAGTCCCAGCACCCCTGGGTGTGGCACCAAAAACAAAAATGACAAAATAAATAGATGCTTCATTTTTTGTTTCTTTTTCACTTGGAGTGCTCTTGTGATTTTATTAGTAATAATCCCTTCAAGTAATCTAAAGGGGATCTTTTAGCACTACTTTTGTAAAAAAAGGAAAACAACTAAGAAATCTCAGAAAAGAAAGGTGACTTAAAAATAAGATAACTTTCTAGATTTGGTTGCACTATAAATACTTCATTCAACATACAAATTTTCTTCTTAAAATGTTGGCCCTGTTGAATCAAAAGCAATATAACATTTGCAGGTGTATATGCCAAAGAAGCTTCATTTTGAAAAGTTTTTACTCACTCGTGGTCATGATGTTAGGAGGGCAAGAGGGTATTCCATGATCTACTGCCCATCTGTAGGCTCCTTCTCCAACTAAAAAGCTAACAACAGAAAAAGTATTCTTTTAAAAATTCAGTGTCACCTTGTACATATTCAATAAGGTAATTAAGGCAACTAATGAAAAACTCTGACATATATGTAAAATTCTAGATTTATCACAAAATAATATATTAATTCTACATAATATATTATGTACCTGAAAACTTATTTTTCAATTTTCCCCCAAGCTAAAAAATTCAAAATTGGACATGATACAATTTCATTTGCAATATCTAACAAAAATTCATAAATTTCAACATCAGGAGTATTAAAAATAGTTGATTTCTCATTAGAAAAATATTTAAGGTTTATTTTGCATCTATATGGTTCTGATTTATCATAGTAAGATCTCCTAATAGGACTAAGAATAAAAGCCTCGGGACCAGAAAGATAGTATAGCAAGTAGGGAACTTGCCTTGCATTTGGTCAAGTTGGGTTAGAACACCAGCACCCAACATGGTTCCCTGAGCCCCACCAGGGTGACCTCTGAACAGAGCAAAGAGTAACCCTGAGCACAATCAGGTTCAAAAAAAAAATCATAAAAATGTAGGTGAATGTCTTCACATTTGTCATTTTTGCCAGTATAACACCTAGATCTACTCAAAACTAGTAGGTATGTTTAGAAATATCAAAACACAATTATAAGTACTTATAATTCTACATGAGGATGAAACAAAAATACATTTATAACTCTTAGAGTCATTTATGTGACTAAAGCACTATGGTGTATATTTTTTGGGGGGGGGGGGGTCACACCCGGCGATGCACAGGGGTTACTCCTGGTTCATGCACTCAGGTATTACTCCTGGCGATGCTCAGGGGACCATATGGGATGCTGGGAATCGAATCCGGGTTGGCTGCGTGCAAGGCAAATGCTCTACTCCAGCCCCAAATTTTTAAAACCCTAAAGTAGGGACTGGAGAAACAGTTCAGGGGCTAAGTGCTATCTCACATGCTTTGTACTCTAGTTTGATCCCCAGCACTGTACACAGGTCTGGAGCACAAATTTTTCCCAAACTTTCTTTTGATTCTTCAAGAATAAAACTTTAGAGAAAAATTTTACCTTAATCAACTCAAAATCCCCACTGATTCTGTATTTATATCTGGAACCTGGCCACTTCATAGCACCTTCACTGCCATTACATGGCCTGAGAAATTCTAACGTACCTGGGCTGTCACACTAGCCTCTGCACTTCCAGGCTTGCCTTGTCTTGTGCCATAACCCAGTGTATTCTCCACATATCTGCACTGAAATCCTTATAAAATACAAGCCAATTCATGCAAGTTTTGGTCTCAATGCCCTGTAAAAACTTATATAACTCTATTGTAAAAGCTAGAGTCTTCATAAGAATCTATCTGCTCTATCTGCTCCCAAATCTATCCCAAATCTTTTTCACTTCATCACCTCACCTCTCATTCCTCTCACCTCTTACATAAACAAAGCATGAGAAAGACACTCCTGCCTCAGGACCATAACCCCTAACTATTCTCTCTCTTAAATTCTTCCTCGCTTGCATAATGACAAATTTTCTCATCTCAAATCTCTCTCTTTGATAAGACCTATTTAAAACTATACCCAAAATACTACAGTTCTCTCCTGGTAAAGTCAGTTCCTCATTCTACTTTTTTTTCACATTTTTCCCACTTTCTTATATGTTATATACCTTATTTACACATTACATCTATTGGGCTTTTTTTCTCCCACATAAACTATAAAGTTTGCAAGTGTATAGACCTGTATTTTTCATTTCCCAAGCATTTAGGATAGTTCCTGCCTTTATAAAGCAAAAAATAAACATAAGTAGGATATTACACAAAACATTAAGTTAAAGAGACAGAGTACAGTGGGGGGTGGGTAAGGTATTTGCCTTGCATGGGGTTGACTCTCATTCAGTACACATATGATCACCTGAGCACTGCCAGGAATGACCTAAGTGGAGCCAGGAATTAGTCTTAAGCAATGCCAAGAGGGACCCAAAAAAGCAAATAAAAAGAAGAAGAAATTAGGGTATCAAATTTTCCTTAGTGTTATACTGCCTTCGTCTATACTAAAGTAGATCTATATTGTTTCAACACAAAAGCAACTTTACTGTAATTGGCACTGTGAGGTGGTGATGACGCTCTTCAATGAACTGAGCTGTGTGTGGTGCCAAAAGGATTAACTGGACAGTCTTATTGATGCTTAGCTATGTTTAAGTCAACGATGAATTACACATATAACTGTGGAGCCAATAGCTTATTCCACATAACCTAGGTGGGTTGTTAGTAGTAGTATATACTACCTCAGCTTCTTTACTTATACTCCATGACATCTGCACACTGACAAAATGACCCGATAACTTTCCTCAGAAGTAATCCCATGATCAATACATGACTACACAAAGATGCAAATTATAATTGCCTATTTTCAAAGAACAGACTCTATAATCACTATAAAAATGTATAATTTTATAGCTCTAAGTTATCAAGAACATTCAAAGCACCAATAGTCAAAATATATTATTGTGGCTCAGAAAGAAGAAATTGATAGCTATTTATTAACAGTTTAAAAACTTATTTTTATTTGACCTATCACTTCTCTGTTCATTGTAAGTACATAAAACTGAAAAAAAGAACAATTGGTTAGTTAAAGCTCACAAACCATAAAGTACAAATAGAGAAAGTGCTATGTTTGGAAATAACCTATGTAGCAACCAAATTAAATAATAAATTAGCTCTTTTTCTTTTAAGTTTAAAACAAAAATGTTTAAACATGCAAAGTACAGAAAAGTATAGTGAACCCAATGTATTACATGCTTCGATTACTAATAAACTAATAAATTACTGATATAACTTATTTATATCTAAACCCAGATTACTTTAAGCAAATCCAGGTTATCACATAATTTAAATGTAAACACATGAACAGTATCTCATAAAATGACTTTTTAGAAAATATAACAAGATGACATCTAAAAAATTAATAAATCTTTAAGATCAAATATATATATCAATATATCAAATATATTGAATATGAACAGTAACCTATATTTTCTGTTGTATTATTTTTCTTTTTAGACTCATTTGAATAAAAAAAGTCCAACTAAATTCATACCTTCTGCTTAGTATTTTCTATTTCCTTTATTCATCATATTTTTTCATTTTCTTTTCCCACTCACATGTAAAAGTAGTAAAATTTGTAAATTTACAAAATACAATAGATTCAAAGATAAACACTGTACCAAAAATTAATTTTACTTCAAGGGCCTACTAAGCACTTTTTATATTTTATTTACACAATACATAAAATAGAAAAACAATTTTCCTTTCTTATCATAAAAAACATAATTCTGAAAATTATAACTTCAATACTAAGAATTAGCAAAATTTTTCCTATAAAGGGAAAAATAGATTAAGTCTCTTGAGTAAAATGTCTGTTGCAACAACTTAGTTCACCCTTTACACTGCACAAGCAGTCACAGAAAAAAATACAAATGAGTTTGGCTTTGTGAGAATAAAACTTTATTTACAAAACAAAACTGACCAATAAACTGGGTTTGTATCACAGATTATAGTTTGCCAACCTTATTTCTAGCTGGTAAGGCTATCAAAGTTGTACTTAAAATGAAAGACAATGATTCAAGCTACAAACTTGGAGAAATGTGATATTACAAGATGGCAGTACCACCAAGTTTTTGAAATTATCAAATACTCTTTCTAGCCTAATCAAACTCCATTACTTAGGAAAAAACATGATGGGGCTGGAGAGATAGCATAGCGGGTAGGGCATTTGCCTTGCATGCAGCCGACCCAGGTTCGATTCCCAGCATCCCATATGGTTCCCTGAGCACCGCCAGGAGTAACTCCTGCATGCACAGCCAGGAGTAACCCCTGTGCATCACCAGGTATGATCCAAAAAGCAAAAAAAAAAAAAAAAAAAGATACAATTGGAAAATTTTTATATATACTAACTTCAGCTTATAGAAGCACAGTTCTACCAAAGGTTCTCCCGAAGGTTATTTAAAAAAAAAAAAAGGCACTGAGCTTATAAAGTACTAATAACTTTTGATACAGTTAAAAAAACAGATATGCTCCCCCAAATTTCTTCAATGAGTTAAACAGATAAACAAACTTTTTAAATTTAAAGATTTCTTAGAAAACACGCCTTATATGTAACACCTTACTCTTAATATTTCCTGATGAATGAGAATAGATAAATGAATGCTTAACACTAAGTGGCTGTGAAAATGTACTTCTTACTACAGCAAAAAGAAATTTTATTCTCCCTAATTTGTAATTTGCCACTTCTAATGTGACACTGAACAACTAAATTTCTCAGATAGAGTAATCAACTATGGGACTTGGCTTCACTATGTGAACAATGGATGTTACCCTCATAAACCACTGTACACTTTTTATGAGAAGACGCAAAAAGGCTACACAATGTTTTGCGGCCACTCCAGAAGTGCTCAGGGCTTATTCCTGGCTCAGGGACTGGGGTTGGGGGGGTGCCATATAGGATGCCAAAAATTAAACCTAGGTGCAAGTACCCTACCTGCTGTACAATCTCCAGCCTATAAATTCAAGTTTTAAAACAATCAATTTGTTTATATTTATTTAGGAAACCCACAGAACCTGGTTACTGACTCTTTTTTAACTACCACAGAAACACTTCCAGGCATCTAAGAGTTTTCTGATTCTGAAGACAAAGTAATAGGGAACAAATGTAAACTCTTGCCAAAGCAAGAGGGAGGAGAGGGAGGGGAGAGTGGAAAAACAGACACATGAACAGTTTTCAGATGTTAGACAACAGGTAACAGAGGACAGTGATCCTTAAGAGAAAGGAAACAGCAAACCCTATAGTTCCTCCACCTTAGTACTGCCTGAAAAGTTTTCCAACAAGAGCACTGGGGGATATGGAATGGGTCTGTGTCAAGTCCATGAGCAAAAGAGACAGAGGAAGCAGGGAGAAAAACCAAAATACACACTGTTTACAAAGACAAAACTGCACAGAGAAAGGAAT